TTTTCAGTTATTTTGTTGGTTAAGTCAAAATACTTCTTTATTTTTGAAGCGTGGTCTTTAGTAATGTCCATTTCCTATGAACCGAGAGTTCTACTAGTACTCCACGCTTGATTGACATAGCATAAAGAAATATGTCAGGTCTGGACGTCGAGGCACAGATATCGCTATAACCGAAAAATAACAACGAATTATCTGAAGTCAATAGAAATATAAAGGATAAAACATTTATATAAGTGTTGGTGAAAGTTCTCGTAGTGATGAGAGAGAATTTCCACTTGACAACCTTAAACTTACTTCCCTTACGTGGGAGTTAAACTTATAGAATTGGATGTCATTTAGGCGATGACGTCCTTACTCACTACGTATTATGGGGTTCCGCTCCGCAACAAGAAAAATGAAACTCTTAGAGGATCACTTTCTTGTCAGTGTTACTGTATGTCTATCTTTGAAGAACTTTTATTTGTTCAGGAACGTGTGAAGGTATCAAATTGAAATTAAAATGAATAATGAATGAATGATTCACCTCCCTTCTCAGTCACAGGTTTCAGAGAATCAATTGCAAGTTTATACGGCACCTTCAGCTTATGATTAAATCTCGTCGGTTTGATAGAAACAAAAGACTTCTCTTTGAAAATGGCACTAAAAGATTTCTACAAGATACGTGCTACGTGCCTAAAACAACAAATGGTCGTAAAATAGAGTGAACGGTTTCTATGATGTGTGTTTAACGTTTGTTAACATTTTAAGTGATATAAAAAAATACTATACTATTTCTGTTTTTTTTCAAAGACAACTAAAACTAAGTTAAAAATTTTATTTTTAAAGTTTTTAACTCCATTTAATACACAACGATTTTACTTATAATTAAAATAATTTCTGATAACACTCTCAGTCGGCTATTTTTGTTACTAAACCGTTATATACCGTATATACCGTTGGTACTAAGCCTATTTTAATCATCGTCGTTACCATCAGCTTATTGCAGTCCAATATGCTATTGGAGACTCATATGTCCAGCAGTGGATTGCGGGAGACGATTTTAATACACCATCAAAATACAACTGACATTATGATGCACCTGCTAAAAGCACAACATCAACGAAGAGCCAAGAAAGCATATGAACAAAGTAATCCAGTAACACTTGCATGAGTGCCTTAGTTTGTGCGGCACACTCCTCATTACAGAACGAGGCTACGAAATGCTTTTGTGTGATACTGCTTCAAACGAAACTTGTTAATTACGAACGAGATTCTGAAACTTTGATGACTCCAGTTCATATTGAACTCTTTTCAACAAAACCATGTCGTGGCAACTTGTAAGTAAGACAACACTCAGCACATATTTGTAAAACATGTTTGTAAACTATGTATTAGTGTATGTTTTGTAAGTTGTCCTAAATAAATAAATAAATAAAAAACTCTTTCTCTCTGTGTTTATATATTATGAAAACGTTTATGACATAATTTAAGTCATCATTAAACTACAAAATTTCGTATTTTCAGCCCAAGTTATATACCAACTAATAGCAAGATAATGAAAGTGTACTACATTGTACAATAAATATAAATCTATCTTCAAACATTGCAGACTGGCACGTAAGATATGAGGATATGATATACCCGACGACATGGACGAAACCAACTGCTGCACTTTGAAAATTACAGCATTTGTAATTACACATCGAAGTGACCGCTAATTGGTCTACCCGCTCTCAAAGAACGTTAATCTATTTAGGAAGCAATGGAACTGTGAAACAATTTTTTTCAAGAAAACTTGTTTTTGACTTGAACTGACTGAGTTTTTGACTTGAATTTTTGATCTGTTTTTTCAGTAGCATTTTTTTTGAATTTTTATAATACGAGTAGTATAATAAAAAAAAACCTAAACTGAATTCTCTTGAACTGAAATCTTTTCAAGAACCTTGGTTAAGATCTAAATCTAACAGTGTACATCTTTTAGCTGAGATGATAATGGTGACATGACACCTACGTTATGGCTTTATTTATATGTCGTAAAAGAAAAGCTTTTTTTTCTAAAATACTCTTTTGAACAAAGAAATAAACTTCTATTCTTGTTTGTCAAATCGCTCTTGAGAATAGAGAAAAAAGCTTGTCGTAAAATCACTTTCCGTAATGAAAAATTAAACATTACAGATTCAGAGATTCCTGTTACAGTTTTATTATGTTCTGTCATATATTTTTTTTTACCTTAGCGAGAAAGTAATAATACTTAAAAACAATTATTAATAATCTCATTGCTAGTACTCTATAGAAGTAAAATGAATGCGGTCAAACTTCATGCAACTTATCAACATACACAGCTCAACCCTTTTCACATAAAATAATGAAATTAAAGCCCATTTCGCTACAACAATTAACAAAAGAAAAGAATACAACGTATAAAAGTGATGTGGTAATCCCAAAAACACAATTACAAACTGGCGAGTCCTAAACAAATACCTTTGAATGTCCTTGAAACAGACCATTAATTCCGAATGGACCCTTGGTATTGGGTTTAACATTTACTGAAGGGAAATTAATTCGAAAGGTCTGTCTGTCGACTTTAAGGAAAAAGAGGAATATTAAGTTGGTTTCCGCGTAAATGACGTATGTCATTAACATCATATTTCTGCAATTTTATTGATTTTGTTTGGGGGCGGTGCAATGTGTTAGATTGTGATGGGTTTTTGGGCTTTTTTCTTTTATCTTATAAACCATAAGTCTTAGCTTATTTACTAAACGAATATTTTCGTTTTCAGACGAGATAAGGGCAGAAGGTATATTAGGGTAAGAAAAAGAGATAAGGTGAGGGAGCTGGGCTTTGAGATACCATGATGAGCCTTTCTAGTAGTTAGTGATCCTCACTGCTAAGCCAAAGGTAGTGGGTTTGATTCCTACCCAGGGAAACAAATGTGTGATGAGTACGATCGTTTATTCTGTGTCGGAGTGTAATTTATCTGTAATATTTAGAAATATATATGTATGTTTATGAGTGGTCTGGTTACCATAGTGCAGTTTCTGCCTAGTTTGGGATCGGTCAGACGGGTCTGATATAGGTGAGGTATTCCTGATTATTATTATTCCTGAAACGGGCAAAGGTACTAAGAATGAAGTACCAAGATGAAGCCGAACGTCAATTCTGTAGTTAGGAGATCACTAGGACAAAAACAAACAACTGACTGCACGGATGGCGTAGTGGTGGTTTAAGTGGCCGCCACGTTGCTTCCTATTGTGCTGAGTGTTGTTGGTTCGATCCCCACATGGGACATCACTTTGTGTGATCTACAAATTGTTGTTCTGAGTCTCTGTGTTCTTTGTGTCCATTTCATGTATATATTCCTATTCTTAAATAAACAACTCCCGCAAGTTGTATAGTTAAGAAAAAAACTAACTACTGGTAAATGAATATTGGTGTAGATATGAATATTTAAAAGACACCAACTAACATCTAAGGAATTTTAATGTAGTTAGGTTCTTGGAATTAATACATGGTCTACATGAAATTTTTAGAGATACTGTTGTTTAGAATAAAATACAACTTTCAATATTATAACCATATAATGATGATTGATACATATGATACTATAGATGATACACGAATGTAAATATTTATTATATATATATATATATATATATATATATGTTTATATTTTATTATATTTTGTAAGTAACAGAAGGCAATATCGTGTTTTTATACATGTGTAACAATATAAATGTCTAAATAACATTACCTTTAATATCGTAATTAGCTAAATTTTGTAAGTTCTTTAAAGATAAATTACTACAAAACTAATTCTATTTAGTTAAAAAAAAATCCATGTGTATTTAGTTAAAAGTAATCAAGTATAAATAAATGTTTATAATGTATAAACTTAAACTTAAAGTTTAATATAAGACAAAATTTAATTTAATGTTAGGATAGACATCGTGGGGAAACCGCAGCCAAAGTTTAGAGGATTCTTGAGTACAAAAGGTATATTTATAGAAAACTCTTCGAGTAGAGGGAACACAATCTCGCGGAAACCAAACAATAAATGCTAAAATTATTGCTCTATCAATATATTTCTCACGTTTTAAAAGTATCCCTTCGTTTAGACTCCATAATTTTAACTCCTGTCTATATAAATAAAACTGAAATATTTGGTTTCACAACAGTGCGTACAATGTTTTTAGGAAAAGAAAAGTTACCAAGTTTTTTCTGACTTGATTAAATCAATGGTAGCAAGAGCAATGTCAGTTGACAGCATATAAGAAAAGAATCTTTAAAAGCAAAATTATTAATTTCAGATCATTTATATTTGATGTTGAGTAAGTTTAGTTTAAAAGCTTTTCGGTGCTAAGGTAACATCAATGTTAATTTACTATATTATTATTATATTAGTTTTAAAAATCTGTGAGATCAATTTACATATTGTAATTCGTTTTAAATAACTGCGTTCAATCTTACAATCTGGAACCTAAATGATCGTGTATGGTATAGTTTCAGAAGTTTTTCTACTGTACGATAAGCTTGGGAAAAAGATCGGCAATGTGCTAAAAAAACAATTCATATATTTATTAATCACCAAAGCAGAATATATTAATGTTACTAAGTTAAAAGTAAACAAGGAAAGTAATGAAATATAACCTCATAAAGAGAAAGTATCAGATAAAGACGATTCTTTAAATTTTTTCACTGTAAAATAGGATTTGAAGATTTTTAAGTTAGTATTTCAAAATTAATAGTCTGTCCACTTTCTGTCTTTAGATAAAAATACGTCATGATCTAGAGGTGTGCTTTATATTTTCATTTTAGCACTTTACTATTACTAATTTACCAGTAATATAAAATTACATTTAAGGATCTAAAGCTAAAAAAATATGAATGGCTGACACAAAGAAGTTCTTCATCACCAATTATTTAAGAAACATATGCGTTACTAATGAATTAACTGTAGACCTAACTATAATAACGACAACATCGTATACGGAGTCATATCCTAAATATTTACAACATATACCTCCAAGCCTCAATTCGGCTGCTGCTTGCGCGCTATCCAAGTCCCTCTCGGCGAAGCATTGGTACATCCCTCGGTGTGCCCTCACAACACCATGCACTCTGAGGACTCGCTCCCCTCCTCCAACTGGAACGCCATCGTGTAGCCAGCGAACGCGGGCATCTCCGCCGTCAACAGAACAATTGAAAGTCACCGAACTTCCAGAGTTGGCAACCTGAAATAGGAAGGGTCATTTATAATAACCATTCAGAATGTTCATACAAATCGTTTCTCTTTTTTTTTTTTTCGTGCCATCCTATCGGTGGCATGTCGGATTCGAACCGACTAAAACCGCACGCCGTCTCGGGTACTAATAGCCGGAGAACCAGGTATACCCTAGAAAGGAAGTCCCTGGTGAGAAAGGAAGTCCCTGGTGATAAATTGTTTCTCCTAGACATAGTCAAAGAAACTTATCATCTACTCAATAACCACTGTAAGGAACTGCGTGTACAGTACGAGTAATTTATCGTAAGATATGCCGTACTAGATACTCTTTTCAACGTTAATTAGATATATGATTATTATATGAATTTGATTTTTTTTAAAGACGACTCCCGCATTAGGAATATATCCTGTGTCACGGGGGACTTTACAAACATACATGAAATGGACACAAAGAACACCCAGACTCAGAACAACAATTTGTGTATCACACAAAGTGTCGCCACATGTGGCGATCGAACCCAACGCTCAGTGTAGTAGGAAGCCGCGTGGCGACCGCTTAAACCACTACGCCATCCGTGAAGTCTTAAAAAGCGGCGGTAGCCTAGTAGTTAAGGCATTAGATTTGCCGATCAAGAGGCCTTGGGTTCGAATCCTAAACCAGTACACTACCGACGTGAACCCACTCCTAACACAAGCAATTTAGCTTAGCTGGAGGGGTTGAGAGGAATACTAGTAATTTCAGTTGCTAGTAAATCTTTTCCTAAAGAAACATACATATAAAAAAAATATTTTTTATATTATTGTCTTTAAACTATCACAAAACATATTTTCACTCAACATAAATTCACTCGTAGATATTTCTATAATTCTAATATTGTAGATAACAATAAGTTACAGCCTCATGTTCCTATTTACTACATTAAGGAAACTAATGAAAAAGTAACTCATTAATTACGGCAACTGTCAAAACTCACTGAACAGACGACAACTCACGTGAGAAGTCGTGTCGCGGCGGTATGGGAGAATTCGACCTCTTGAATAATTCACGACATTGATGGTGACGTCATACCCGTCCATCTAAACTGGATTATTAGGGCTGGCTCGAAGGACCAATGTACGATTCTAAACACTGAACATTGTCACCTATATTCGTTCCATTGTCCACTAATATTTATATTCTCAAAGAAGATCCAGTAACGTCTGTAGCTTATATATTTATTGTAGAAGATTTAGCAATATCAATATTCAACCCGAGTATGTTTTTATCTGTTACCATCTATATAATAATCTAATCTATATAACCCAAGATCTATATAAATTGCTAGAATTAAAAGAGTATATTTTTGAGACACACTTCATTTAATCAAGGGTCTCAGTGAACATACCTTTGGCTACAATAGACGTGAATCAATCAGAACGTAGAGAAATCAAAGGTACTGAAGCCATAGTCAATACCTCTGAAGATAAATACAGAAGAACCCTTATAGGATTACTTTGTCGTCGGATCGTCTATCTCGGTCATATATTTATTATTTAAGACCCTTCTTCTCAGAAACGATGAAAAAGTAAATTTGAAATTAATACCAAATACTTGAACTGATAAAAGTTTTCATCGAAAATAAAATTTGTTTTTGGAGTGTTTCAAAAATACGATTAAGAGGTAAATAGTAAAAAAAGAAAATATATTAAAAGAATAACGATTGTCATTTGTTTTAGTACTTATCTGAAGGACTTTCGAAGGTATGTTAAAGTAAAAATAAAATAACAGCGTGATCACACCCAAGGAATAAATATACTATAGTAAGAAGAGGTATACCTGTTGGTTTAGTGGTTAAAGATTTAGTGGTTAAAGATCCTGGCAGTTAAGTTAGAGGTCATGGATTCGATTACCACATAGGAAAAAAATTGCAATGAGCACGATCATTCAAATAATTGAATGATCGTGCTCATTGCAATTTAGAACATAAGTTCTCTTTGGGTGTAATTTATCCATTTATAATTATAAAAATATTCTACCACATACACAAAATGCCATCTAGTTAACGGGTTATCGTCAGCGGTATTTCCGGACCGATACGACCTTCAAACCTTCAAGAAAAGAGCGTACTCTTTCCTAAAAGGCCGGCAACGCGTTTGTGACTCCTGATTTGCAGACGTTCATGGGCAGCGATAGTCACTTTCCATCAGGTGACCCGTCTGCCCCCTCTAACATTGTTCTAAATAATATTGTTGAAATTAAGCAGAGCGTACTAGACAAATGATATTAATACATATTTTTTGTAAATACACACACATACATAGAAACGCCCAGACCAAATCAAACATTAAATATTCATGCACGCAAATGTTTGACTTGAGCGGTAATTGAACCCGCGATCTCTGGGATAGCAGTCCGTTACACAAACTACTACGCCATCTTGTCGTCTTTAAATATTATGCATTTATTTAGAAAAATATAATTATTTAGAAACATAACATAATGTGTCCCTGTTGATGGCTATAAAGTTGACCCTTAATTTCCGCTTGACCTATTACGTAAGCAGGACTAAATTTATAGTCAGCAAAATGTTGGTGTTTTATTCGCCTCTGTTTACTCCTTCGGGGACACAGATGTGAGTCTATGTATTTGTCATACAACATACCTATATTAAAAAAATCGAGCGAGCTTTGCAGTAGTCACATTTAATAATAATAACAATATTTTCAGCCATCTAACACACAACGCCATCAAGTTTCAATCTAGATAGAGCTTATACTATGATATCTAGATTGACTGATAGAACTTTTATATTGTTTTTTTTTTTGTACATACACACATATAATAGATAGTAATCACCCAAACTCCGAAGCAAAAACAAATTTGCAAATCATATAAACATTTGGTCCGACCCGGAAATTGAACCCGAAACACAGCAGTTGCATACGCTACCACTGAACACCAAAGAACAATGGATGACAGAAATGATTGAACAAAACCGAGAACTCATCCCAACATTGTTCTCCGCTTCAGAAACGTCTAACTCCGCCGCAGACAAACTCCCGAATTTATTAAGTAGGCAGAGAAAGCTATTAACAAACTTTTGATATTGAGATAAACGAATGAAAACACTTTCGTTTAGGACTTTAATCAAATTATGTACAGCAATATTTGCTTGTGAATTAAATTACACTGAATCAAGCTCACTTTATTAAATTTGATGGACGCGGAATTAATTAAAAACCAGACTAAGCGTTTATAAATTAAAGAAAGTTAGTCTGTTTGTAAAATTTGTTTCTGATTTTACATTTTCTTTTTATGCCTTCAAATAAGATTTTTTTACTATGCCATTATTGAAATAGTTTTTAATTATACCTATAATCAATAATACAGAAATTAAAGATCCAAGTTTGTAACATAAATAGTTATTTATTCACACGCACATTTTCGATATTTTTATTTCTACCATACTAACAGTGTGTAGAGTAAACAGATATGTAACTATTCTGGTGTTTATCCGACTGTACGTAAAAGCGAGGTGATAAGTTTATTTTTCGTTTTTAATAGTTAGAAAATTGAGATATGTGTATATTTCTACTCAGGATATTTAATATATCTATTTACTAGACAAACACTCGTTACAACAACTTGACAACATACAAAAGGCTAAAATCACGTAACACTGAGGGTATTCATCATCATCAACAGCCTTTAATAGTCACTGCTAGACATAAGCCTCTCCTTAAAAAAGAAGGTTAAGCCTGTTATACCACGCTGGCCCGACGGGTTGGTATAGGACTGGTGTAAAGTTTACCTTCTCTCTGCAGTGCTGTTTTCCTGCGTAGTTTGCTCCCTTAGTCGGCTCTTACGACACCCACGGGATGAATAGGGGTGGTGACACTCTGTATTCTTAATCCGTAACCACACGGCATATGAGGGTATTAACATACACTAACAACATGTTAGTCAGATAAAATGAACGCTTTATGTGATCAAAGTTCTTATAAGCGGATTTAATGTGAGGCAATTATAAATTATTATACCATGTATAGTTTTAGAAAGTATACAGGTAAAATAATTTTGAGCCTTTGTTTTTTATCTTTCTCACTTTTTACTTTTTGTTTAATAATACTAATATTGTAATGTATTCCGACAAAAAAACATTTTTGTGGCAAATCTTAAGGCCAAACTAGGATAGACCGAGCTATGCACTCCAGCCATCTTTTCTACTTTTTATAAACATAAAAATGAATAAAAAGGTAAACCAACATAATTTTTAATAATACACGACACTGAGTGACGAAGAATCGTGTTTAAAGTAAAAAATCGATACTGTTGTGTCTGAAATTAAATAAGTGAGACAGTACCAATGTTGTTGGCAATAAACTATTTAATAATAATCAACTGTTAGTATACTATTTCCACAATCAATAAAAGCCGTTGCTGCATTCACAAAGAATAGAAACTCTATTACTTCCAGTTCGCTAAATAAACAATTCAAATAAGTTAGGTTCGGTGCAACTGACAGCGGGTTGGACACGATTAACTGATTAAAAGTTTTGTTCGCGTTGTTACGGAAAATAACATGGAGAATATGTAGATAATTTTGTTTGTTTCCTAACTACTTACGCAACAAGATCGAGATAAAAAACTAAAAAACATACTTTTGTAACTAGCTGAAATAAAAATACCGTTGTGTATTTTGCTACGTACTAAGAGGCGTGTAGTGTGTGTAGTGGCCTGAAGCATATATTAATTACTTACTGGTTATTTTGTTAGTCTTAATGAGAAAATAATCATCATTAATGACTAAAACAGAATAATAAACGATTTATTAAATTCATAGTTAATTGAATATGTTATTTATTACATATTGCCACATCTAAGTATATCTTCGAGAAACTAATAGCGTAAGGAATGAAAAATGAATGAATGAAAACTGATACTCCGTTGTTTAAAAGACCGACTTCGCGAGAGATCAACTCTATTATAAAAAGCCTTTTCCGTTGATTATCTTTCGTTACATAATCTGGTTAAGTCGAGGGTTTTTAATTATTTTATCCTTTTTCGATTACGTTTTAACCGCCCTGGGATTTTTCAACATTTTTCATTTTGCTTTTTATTTCAGACATTTTAGAGAGTATGTGCATATCTATATAGTTTATTTCATAGTGATAATATATTATGTATACCTATATATTTACCGTCCGTCCGTCCGTGTGGTGACGGATTAAGAATACGGATTGTCACCACCCCCATTCATCCCGTGGGTGTCGTAAGAGCCGACTAAGGGAGCAAACTATGCAGGACAACAAAACTGCAAAGAGAAGGAAAACTTGACACAAACCTTTTTTTTTTGACCTTTTTTTTTTTTTTTTTTTTTTTTTTTTAACGTGTGGAAATCCCCTCGGACCGTCACCCCTCCGGGGTTTGCGGCGGGGTGGTGTGTCGGACTCGGACCGACTAAAACCACACGGTGTGCCACTCTGCGCCTGTAACAGGAGGGATCCGGGAACAGCTGTTGTTAAGACATCCGGACCCCTCCTAGCGCCAGCCCGCTCCTGGTGCGGGCTCCGTCTCGATGTTGATGTTCCTCTCTTTAGGCGACGTCCGGCACACGCGGACGCCGCCCCCTCGCGGCTGGCCAACTAATGCGGGTGGAGGGGAAACCCACCCCGTCCACCCGCGGCCACACTCAGGGCGGCATGAGGCTGTGATAGGCGGGCCTCCGCCGCCCGGTTCGCCGGCGGCGGATCGGGTCCGAGTGGAGGTCGTCCTCCCGGGCCCTCTCCGCCGCCTCCTTCCGCGAGATTACTACCTCGCAGAAGGTTGCGACCGCGGTAAAACAACTGTCGCTACCGGCCATGGAGCGTACTACGGCCGGTAGCGAGAGATCCACTCCGATGACTGCAGTGAGGGCCCGGCGCTGCGCCGCCCATGCGGGGCAGACCGCCAGCGTGTGCTGGGCCGAGTCCTCACTGCAGTCGCAGTGGTGGCAGGCGGGACTCAGTTCCCTCCTAGCGACCCTGTGCAGGTACTTTCCAAAGCAACCGTGCCCGGAAAGCACCTGCGTCAGTCGGAAGGAAAGGGTCCCGTGCTG